TGGGGAGAGCTTGGGCGCCAAACATCAGAGGCTGGGTGGTTCCCAGGCCCAGGAGTGTGCCCCAACCCCTTCCACCCCAAGTCTGGGAAACCGAAACACTCAGGCCTGCTTTGGCGTGAAATTTGATGCTGTGAAAAGGCATCCCGGGGGAAGTCAGGGGCGGCCAGTTCATGGGGGCGCTTTCGCAGTGGTAGGGTCTGAGCCAGGGAAAGTGAGATGGCCCCACCTGTGTGAGGTCTCCAGGGGCTGGGTCACCACAATGGGGACCCCCAAAAGGAACAATAGGGGGATCTTCACCCAGGCCGGGGGGGGCGGGATCTGTAAACCGAGGTTCTGCAGGGGGCTGTTGCTCCCCTCCCCCGGGCCAGGCTCCCTGGGGAGGGGTTCCCTTCCTTGGTGGCCTCTTTCTGGCTGCTCGGGCTCCCAGGGCATTCCCCCCAGTGGGCTTGTGGCTGTGTTCGGTTTCCAGCCCCTTTTCTGCCTCTGTTCTGGGTGTCTCCTCTTTTGGTCTTCTTGTCTACAGGACACGCTTGGTTCATTGGATTTTAGGGGCCTTATGGGTTGCTTCCATTCTTTTCCAGGAATGATCTCCTTTTTCGCTGATCAAGGGAATTTACGTTAACTTTTCCCCACACCCAATGGGCATAAGGACCCGCTTTCCCAGTCAGATGGGCCCTTTTCAACAGGGCTCCCAGGGCACTAGTTATAGGGGAGCCATGTTCCCCCTCTGAGTGGCTCACCCACCCTCAGGGGAGCCACCCCCACAGGGGCATTCCCCTTTCATTTTCTGAAAGCTGGCCCCCTTTCCCCTTCTCAGAAATGGGTTCCCCCAGCCCAGTAAAAGAAACCTTCCAGGGCCCGTCTTGCCCCTTTCCCAGAGGCCTTTGAGCCTTTCCCGGGAGAACGATTGGACCTCTAAAGATCACTCCTCTTGGGATCCCTGGCATGAGGGTCCCTGAAGGGTAAAGAACGGATGTACCCTGGTTGACTGCGTGGTGGCCCCAAAGATGCGGTGAAGAACACAAAACTTGGGCCAACCAAGCCCTAAAAAAAAAAAAAAAAAAAAACTTTCTAAAGATACTCGAGTGTGGAGGAAGGTTGACTGTCATGACATCTACAATGAACCTGCTTTCAAAGATGGCCCCATTCTGAGGTGCTGAGGGTTAGGACATCAACATGCATTTTGGGTGCTTGGGGAGCACCACTCAGTCACAACACCCTCCAATCACCATCCCTGCTCTGACAACCCCTGGGGCTCATCTTACGGGTGGGGACACCTGTGGCACAATTTGGCATCATCATCTGGAGCCCAGAATCCCCTACCCTCCACCCCCCAACCCCAGTGCTCAGTCCCAGGCTCTCTCTGTTCAGGGCCTGTGTCCCCCTAGCTGTGTTCCAGGAGGGTTCCCCAAGGTGACTGATATGGTTTGACTGTGTCCCCACCCAAATCTCATCTTGAATTCCCACATATTGTGGGAGGGACCTGGCGGGAGGTAACTGAATCATGGGGGCAGGTCTTTCCCGTGCTGCTCTTGTGATAGTGAATAAGTCTCACGAGATCTGATGGTTTTAAAAAGAGGAGTTTCCCTGCACAGGCGCTCTCTCTCTTTGCCTGCTGCCATCTCTGTAAGACCTGACTTGCTCCTCCTTGCTTTCTGCCGTGATTGTGAGGCTTCCCCAGTCACATGGAACTGTAAGTCCAATTAAACTTCTTTGTTTTGTAAATTGCTCAGTCTCGGGTATGTCTTTATCAGCAGCACGAAAATGGACGAATACAGTAACCGACACGCAGGCCCAGGAAGTTGGCCCAGCCCAAGATTCGCTGTTGATTTTGGAAACTGGCTTTGTGGGAGTATAACATTTTGGTGTCCAAAGCCACAGAGAAAGAACACGCTGGCTCACATTTCCCAGGATGAAGCCCCTTCCCTGAGTCAGGGGCACCCAGGGACACCTCACCAGGCACCCTGACCACACAGCTACACAGACAGGCCAGGGCCAAGCATCCCTGCAGCCAGCGAGTCCCCAGTTGTCCCTCTGCCCCAACTGCCCGTGCCTGGGGATGCAGCTGATTGTGGGCCTGGCACTGGCTGGTGGCCTCCAAGCTCACGGGGTGCTCTCCCAAGAGCAGGTGTCGGACCTGTCACAGGTGAGACAGTACCTCCTGAGGGGCTCCAGGGGGTTCCCAGGAGGAAGGGCCAGGGACCAGGCTGAGAGGACAGTCCTGACACCCAGTCAGCATCATGGTGGTCAAACCCCGAGTGAGCATCCTGGACAGTGGGCCGAGCTGACTCCTGGCTAGAGTAGAAGTGTCCCCTATCCCCCACACCTGCCTGGAGATCCTTCCGGAGAACATGACTCTGATAGTCCCTGCCTCAGGCAGCCATGCCACCCCATCTGAGTCGGCGCCCAGGAAGCAGACCTGAGAGGCCCCCTAGTACCACCCTCCCCAGTCAGCACAGCCAGATGCCCACAGGCACCGCTGCCCACAGCAGAGCATGGACTCACTGTGGGCACCCCCAGACCAGGATGTGGGGTTCAATTCCAAGGTCACCCTTTGCACAGCTTGTAAATGGCCGAGGGGGATTCTGAGGGTAACTTTGGGATTGGAGCCTCTGCTGTGGTCCTGGAAGAAGCCCTGAGCTCAGTCCAGAGGGGTCCCAGGGACCCTAGCGGTGGGGCAACATGGAGATCAGCAAGGCCGGCCATCCTCCCCTCTTGCTGCCCATGAGCCACCATCCACAGGAGGTGCTAGGGAGGCCAGCGATCCCTTGGCCAGGGCATAGGGTCAGCCTAAAGGCCTGGAGTCCACCAGCTCTGCCAGCTTCAAGGCATTCCTGGGCACGATCTGAGCATCTGAGCAGGACACTAGGCACCAACTGCTGGTGTGGATGGAGCTGGACGGGGGAGAAAAGGGTTCT